AAATTTTATATGTATTTTAACCCCGCAAAAAGGGGCAAAAAAAGCAAAGAGATGTGGCAGGGGGAGGTCAGAGAGATTTGGAGCATCTTGTTGCATCTTCAAGCAGCTCATTTGAAGCATGACAAGGACTCAGTGTGCTCTTGTTGGTTTTGATGGGGGAGGGGATGGATCCATGCTGGAAGGAATGCAGTGGCCACTCCGAGATAAGAATGACACCCAGGCCACATCCGGCAAGAAAACGTGGACCTCAGTCCTAGCCCCATGGGAACAAATTCTGCCAACATCCTGTCTGAGCCTGGAAGTGAATTTTCCCCAGAGTCTCCAGATAAGAGCTCAGAGACACTTTGACTTTGGCCTTGTGAGGCTCTGAGACAGGAACCCAGTCACACCGCTGGTCTTCTGGCCTCCAGGACTGAGAGATAATAAAGGGGAGCTGTTTTACGCTAAGTTCGCGGTGATTTGTCACTGCAGCAATAGAGAACGAATACAAGCTCTTTACGTACTAATTTTAGATATGTTGTAAATATCTTTTCAAGTGTGTCATTTGTGCTTTTAAACTTTACCCTTAATTCTATTTAATTTTCCCAATTTCATTATCAGAGGGTAAACTCGAGTTCCATTTTGGGGGTGTCCCTTGCAATCACCGCCATGTACCCAATACTCACATGCATCTGAATCATCTTGAATCCTTGTTAAAACACAGATTCCTGGGCCCTGCGCCCAGAGTTTCTGATTCAGTAGGTCTGGAAGGGCCCAAGCTGTGCTCTGGGTCCTAGACCGACCACTGCGGCAAGGCCCCCCAGCCCTCAGAGCGTCCTCAAGCCCAAGGTGCCGCCCCTCTCCGGGTGAAGGAAGCGGAGCCCCACCCCCGGGGGCGTGACCTTGAAGCCCCGCCCCACGCACGAGACCTCCGTTCTCATTGGCTGGTAGTGAAGAGCGTCCGTGCGACATCGTGCTCTCCGCTCCTCCTCCGAACGCCAGGGGCGGGGCGCTGCGCCTGCGCAGTTGGGTCGGTCGCTCGCGGGACGGGAGCTTCTGTGAGGGTCGCGTCCTGAGCGCCGGATGGCGAAGCCTCGGGCGGAGTCGGAGCCCCTGCTGGGCCGGGCCCGCGGCGGCAGCGGCGACTGCCCGGCGGGGCTGACCACTTGCCGCAGCGTCCAGGCCAGCTCTGGTGAGCGGCCCGGGCCCGGGACAGGGGAGTCTGAGAGGTTTGGAGCATCCCGGGAACCGCGTCGTGCGTGGGCATCCTGCGGTCCCCGCACCGCGCGTCGCGACCGGGCGCGCCCACACCGGCCGGGTCCGAGCGGGCGCCGGGCAAGCCGCTTGTCTGAGGGCGAGTGGGCTGCGTCCGGAGGCCCCGGCCCGGGGTCGCCGGGCGGAGAGTCCTGGGGCAGCCCCTGCGGCCCTTCCGCGTGCCGGCCCGGGCCCACACCCTGGAGGCAGCGCTTTGATTTTTCCCATTTCTAACGGGGAAAGCTGAGGCTCAGAGAGAGGCGTTACTCTAGCCAAGGTCACATAGCCAGTGAGTGGCCGAGCTGGGATTCAGCCCAGCTAGAAGCGACTTGCCTGTCTTTTCTGCAGCGCCGTTCCTGGTCCCACTTCCCGTTGGGCTGCTTCTAAATGCCTTGCGCCAGTCCCAGCGTCCTCTCCTCACCTCCCTTCTGCCCTTCTGCCCTTCCTGTTTACCTCCTGGCTGAAGATTGTTGAATCATCCCTGGCTGACGTCTGGGGGATTAGGTGCTGTTAGAGGCAGGAGGGGCTCAGCTTCATTTTACAGATGAGGAAACTGAGGCCCAGAGGAGCCCTGAGACCTGCGCAAGGTCACAGCACTCTGTTCTGGTGCAGCTGCTGCTAGTACCGCTCTTGGCGTTGGTGCCTGGGCCACTTCCCTCTCTAGACTTCTTTTCCCTCTTCTGACGGGAAGGGATCGGGTTGGAATCATGGTCCCCACCCACTGGTCTGTATCCTGAGCCCATCCATGCAGGAATGGGGGGCCTTTGGGAGGTCCCTGACAGGGTTTGATGAAAAAACTAGAGGCTGAGGTGGCCACCTTGTCTGCCCTCCTCAGAGGCTGCCCGCAAGAAGTTCTGCAGTTGTCTCCTGGGACCAGTCAGGAATGAGGTCTGCAGGGACAAGGCCTTGCAGGTCCCTTGACAAGACACGTAGGACATCGCAGTGTTGAGGGGACACAGACTTTTGTGTCTGGAGGTTTGGGTTCGTTTTTAGGGCTGCCCCTTCCTGGCTGTGTGACCTTGGCAGGTTGCTTAACCTGTGTGAGTCTCGATAAAAGGGGGTGGTAATAGGGGCTGCCCAGAGGGGCCTTGTGAGGATTCAGAGAGATCCAGAGGTTGCCCTTAGCACAGGGCCCAGTAGGCCAGTGTGGGGTGCTGATGGCCGTCCCAGGTAGGAGTCCATTCATTATTGCAGGTCCTGGCCCTGGCAGAGCGGACGTCTGGCAAATGAGACCTGCTCTGTTGAGATAGGGGCCAAGGCTTGGCAGTGTGGTTGGCAAGAGGGGGCTCTGTGGGGGGGGCTCTTTGTCCCCACACTGTGGCCTCAGTGAGGGCTTCTGAGAATGTGGACAGGACACTCTGTGTTCTGACTCTTCTTGTCCAGGCTGCCCGGCTAGGCCCACACAGCACAGGAGCAATGGAGACTCAAAGGCTCATTCAGTCTGTGCCAGTGCCCGTGTGGGGCTCTGAGACGAGGGCCCTGTGCTCTGGGTTCACAAATCCTGCTGCTACTGGATGCCCTGAGGATCCCAGTGGACCCTGCAGCTGGGTCTTTCTGAGTCAGCCGCACCTGATGAGGCCATGGCCAAAGGTTGAGGACAGTTGCTTTCTCTTGTTTCTGGGTCAGAAAACACCCTTTGACTGGTTATGAAAAAGTCAGAGGACAAAGGATTGCTGTACCATAGAAGCTTTTAGACTCATAGGAAACGTTTATGAAGTGCTTACTTTGCAAAGCACTCTGGCTTCAGTAGCCTGTTCAATCTATGTGTAACTCCTGTTGGGTAGGGTCTGTGAGGAACCAGGGCACAGGGAGGTCAAAGGACTTGCCCAGGGTCATAGAGGACGCTGGCCAAGGCCCTACACAGGTTGTGCAGGTGGAGCCTGGAGTAGCAGGGAAGCGGGGGTTTAGACCTGGGTGTTGGGGAACAGAGGCTTGGGGCACGGAGACCAGTCCAGGGCTGATGTGTGGGGTGCAGCGTTGAGCCCCCGTTGTCCTCTGTGTTCTGAAGCAACATTCTGACCTGCTGTGCCCCAGTGGGGTGATGGGGTGTGGACAGGTGATTGCTACCCAGAGTGATGATCTCAGGGCAGGGTGAGCTGCCCCAGGGGAGTCCCTGGACCCACAAGTTGGAGGACGGTGCTCCTGGCAGAGGCAACAGCCTGGGCGGGGGCTTGGTGGCTTCGGAGAGCATGGCCTTGGCAGAGCCAGGTTTAGAATGAGTGGCATGGAGGGGTGAGGTGGGGAAGCAACAGGAGAGGAGGTGGGTAGGCAGACCTGGGGCCCTGCGGTGCCAGGCTGGGGCGGAGTGTGGGCCTGCATAGTGGGGCCCTGTGGAAAGCTGTGATGTGCTCCTGAGCATTTGTGACAAGATCCTCAGCCTGCTGCAGGGTGGGACACTGGGCAAGATTGGGTGGCCGGACCTAGAATTTTACAAAGCAGTAACCAAAAAGCCAGGTGTAAGGAACCATGAGTAGCTAGGCAGTTTCAGGGGTGCCCATCCCACTTTGCCTGTGATGGCCTGCCTGGGTGGTCGTGAGCCCCTCCTGCAGTTCTGGGGCCAGAGTGATGCCCGGGCCCTCGGCAGCCTGACTCTTCTTGTCTGAGATGCTGTCTCTCCCCAGGGTCCCCAACGTGGGGACTCTAGACCACCTGCCCTCCAGGCTCCCCTCGGGCTGTTCATTTACTCATTGGATGAATCAGCTTTGAGCATCACTGTGTGCCCAAGCCCTGCGCTGTCATGGGCTCTGCAGATACAGCAAAGGTACAGCCTGGCTACTGTTCACAGCTTCCCAGGACGCTTTCAGGGGATCCTAGCAGTTACGCCTTTCAGAGCTTCCCTGGGAAAACATTTAGAAGTCCTCGGGGTGAGCCTCCTGGTTGTACGTGTGAAGAAACCGAGGCCCAGGCAGAGGGAAGGTGCTTGCTCTGGGTGACACAGCAAGGCCATGGCAGAGCCAGGATGGGGTCCAGCCTCCTGCCTCTCTCTCTGTGAGGTCACCCACATCTCTGATCAGTCCCTGGGCCCAGCTGCCTCTGTCTCATGTCCCCCAGTACGAGCCCTGGGACAGGAGCAGCTGCCTCCCCAGGGATGGCGGGCAGTGTGGGCTGGCACCTCATCTCCAGGCCCTGACCTGTGAGCTGTCCTGGGCTCCTGGGCCACGGGAAGTGGGACGTCAGCCTCCCGCCTGCTCTGCTGCTGTGGGCCTCAGCTCCCTAGGCTTCCCCTCTCCCTTTTTTGCACGGCAGCTTCCGCAGGGGGCACCCCAAGCCCACCTGCAGTGATGACCCAGTGTGCCAGCTTGCAGCTCCTGGGCAGGTAAGTGGGCTGGGGTGCTGGGACCTGGCTTTTCCACCGCCTGACTTTTCCGGAAGGCCCCTCCTAGTCAGGAGCCAACTGCTATCCTCTCCCAGGCCCTCTGGGAGAGGTTGTGCTGTGACAACTCAAATCTTTGGTTGATGAAGGCAGGCAGCCACCCTTTGCCAAGGAGGGTGCTGGCAGGGCCCTGGGGGGCTTGGATGCTCCTTGGGTGCTGACCCTGCTGTTGATTTGGGTGAGGTCACCTGATCCTTTGGGCCGTGATGTGCAGGGATGGGACCTTGGTAGTCTCAGTGTTTGATGAAGAGTCAGGGCGGTACCTTCTGGTTCTAGATGTCAGCTTTACATGTCAGTGTTAAATCCATGGTGTCCTTTGACAGAGGGTAGGCAGGACACTGGGTGCAGCGTCCTGGCAAAGGGCGTGTGGGACTACGCAGAGCAGTGATGGCAGTCCGTCGTTACTGAGCACGCTCCACGAGCCAGGTCTGGCAGGGGGCTCCTGCACTCCCACCTTGCACCTCATGGCACTCTCTAGGGAGCTGAGCGGGACAGCCATTCCACCCCCATTTGACAGAGGAGGAGATACCGCAGTCTCCATGCCAGCACGTGGGAGAGCTGGCCCTGAGCCCCGAGTCTGGTCCAGGGCCCTGCTGAATGTGCTGCTTCTCACGGGCGCCACCCGGTGCTTGTGCTCTCCATGCAGAGCTGCTTCCCCTCTGGGCCTGCCCGGTTCCCGTGCACTGATGCAGTGGCTCCTTACCTGGTTTGGACCCTGCCTAGGGCACGCACGGTGCTGCCAAGGAGGGGTCCCGTCTTCTGGACACACTGCAGGGTGCAAGGCAGCTCCTTACAAATGGAGCCTTGGAAGGAGCCGCAGCCAGCTTCTCTTCTTGGTCATGATCGTCCCGTAAGGGTGAGGCCACGTGATCCCGTTCAGTTGCCCAATGTGTCCTCTCGGCCTGCAGGTGCTGCGGCCAGGTGGGGCCTCTGCATTGACCAGGCTGTGGTCTTCATCGAAGACGCGATTAAGGTGGGTGGTGCCTGCACCCTATGGCTGGGTCTGGGTGATGGCTTCCTACTGGCCGAGAGCCTCTCTGGCCCCACCATTCCGTGTTGTCCTGGGCCAAGGCCTCAGCTGCTGGACTTTGGTTAAGATAACGGTTAAGATAACAGTGGTGGCTGGGCCTCTGGGCCTGGCTCTCCTGAGTCCCCCGAGGGATGTCTTCTGAGTCCTGGAACCATTTGCTTCATTGACTTACCACCTTCCAAAGCCTGTCATGAACCACCCCGTTCTAGGTCCTAGGTTGAGGGGCCATTCTGAAGATGACTCAGTTGCCCTGGGGCTGGGAGGGTCAGCCTTACACGTAGAAGAGGGCTTTGCGGGCGGACAGAGGACTCGGCTATACCTTCAGCAAATGTTCCCTGAGTGTTTGCTCAGTGCACCTGCCGGCCCTGGATGTCTGGCCCTCAAGGAGTGCTCGGTTTGCTGGGTATACCTTGCAGCTTGTAATGGTCTGAGCCTGCTAGGTCAGGGCAGGCCTTGCCCATGTGCTGGAACAAGCCCTGCCATCCATAGCCCATCGGCCAACTCGGGCCTGTCTCGGTGGGAAGGGTGCGCTGCCTGAGGCCGTGTGGTGAGGGGGTACGGGCAGGACACACAGCGTGCGCAGCACCCAGGGGATGCTGCTCATGTCCCTCTGCGCGACCTTTCATTTCCAGTACCGCTCCATCAACCACCGCATGGACGCCCGCTCACTGTGGCTCTACCGACGGTATTACTCGAACCTGTGCCAACGGTGAGGATGCACCCAGGCTAGCTTGGTGGTGGGAGGCTGGCCTCACCTGTGCTGGGGACCACACCTGGCCTCAGGGGCTGGGCAGGCTCCCTTCCCCACGAGTGCAGAGGAGGGCGCTAGCCCCCTCCTCCCTGGAAAGGGGCCCAGCCTATAGCTAGAAGGGCTCCTTTGGTGATGGGGGTTCCTTTCCAGAACGCTTAGATCAGCCAAAGGCAATTGAGTTGTGACTAGATCAGTGATATTTGCAGTCGTGAGAGTCTACGGCCCAAGGAGTGCCAGTTCCTGCCGTTTGGACCGGTGGAGTCGATCCTGCTCATCAGCCTCTTGGCCATGGAGGGCTGATGATTCTTGCATTTTAACTAGTTTTTGTCCTCTTTCCAGGTCTTTGAACTTCACCATTTACTTGATCCTGTCTTTGGCTTTTATCGAGACCCCCTCTTCGCTCAGTAGAACGGCGGACGTGCGTTACCGCTCCCCGCCCTGGGAGCCTCCATGCGGCCTGACGGAGAGCGTGGAGGTGCTCTGCCTGCTGGTCTTCGTGGCCGACCTCTCTGTGAAGGTGAGGGGCGTCAGCTCAGGCTCCGAGGCCCTCCACGCTCCTCCGCAGTGGCCCTGGCCGTCCCGCCCCTGACCGTGCTTTCCCCATGTATTTCTGATGCTGCTGAGGTGGCTGCCAGCTTTCCTGACTGCACCGTGACCCGCTGAGCAAAGCCCCGGGTTTCCTGGGCAAGTCTGGGCCCTGAAGCAGAGGCTGTGTCAGCTCTTCTCCCTCTCCAGAAGTCCAGGCCGTGCAGCGGGGGTGGGGTGGTGGGTGGGGGTGGTGCAGCCTAGCAGGGTCCCGGGTCTGGCTGTGCCACTGTGAGGAGAGGTCCGAACAAGTGAGGACCGGGTGGTCTCTTCACGGCTCACCCTGACACCCCCAAGGGAGGAGAGAGGACCTGGGTGGGGCAGAAAGGGGTCTCTTACCCACACAGCAGCTCCTGCATGTCCGAGTGGATTCTGTCTGTGCCCACGTCCTTCTGGAAGCTGCAGGTGGGCCCTCCCTTGTTCATTTAAGCTTCTGAGCCTTGACAGAGCCTTAGTGACTTTCCAGTGAGGCTCAGGGTGCTGGGTCTGGTGTGGGGCACACGTTTTGTTGCCCCTGATTCCGGCTCTGTGGTCCCAGGGCCATAACGTCCACATCCACGGCGTTAGCTTGTGCCCCAGGCTGCTGCCTTCCACAGGGTCAGCCCTGCTGCTCCTCGGCTTGGCCTGTGGGCTTGCATGGCCTTCTGGTCATGGTCACATGGTGGCTTTGTCTAGCGCTGCCTGGCAGTCCCCTGTGGGACGGGTGGCTTGTGTGCTGACTGAGGGGTGTGGCTGGACCCTGGCGTGTGTGATTGCAGGCCACAAGACAGTTTCTTGTTTCTTCATTTTTAGCCTATCATGTGATTAGCAGGTTTGGGGGGTTTTAAACTGGAACTGAAACTGATGAGAAGTTGTCATTAGCGTTTTTGAATGATTGGCACTTTTGGGAAGTCTCAGAAGGTGAGAGGGCACGTCTGCAAGCTGTGACCTCTGGAGGCAGGAAGCCCATTACAAAACTGTTACCAGTTTTTGAGGAAGCTGAGGTCAGAGAGGTTAGGTGCTGTGCTTGAGGTTGCACAGCCAGTCGCTAGTCACTGAGATGGGAGCTCTGGGCCCCAATCCCTGCTCAGCTCCCGCTTCTCCGTGTTGTCCCATGGACAGAGCTCTGTGTGCTCTGTCCGCCCTGATCCCTGCTGGTCCGCACCGACCCCCTCCGGCTGGCTGCAGGGCCAGCGTCTGTGTGACTGCCTGCTGGCTCACCCCTGTCTCTCTTGCAGGGCTACCTGTTTGGGCGGGCTCATTTCCAGAAGAACCTCTGGCTGCTGGGCTACCTCGGGGTGCTGGTCGTGTCCCTGGTAGACTGGACCGTGTCCGTGAGTCTCCTTTGTCGGGAGGTAGGTGGCGAGGCAGGGAGCCCTGCGAGGGTGTGGGTGTGAGGTACAGCTGCCCAGGTGAGCAGTGGGGCGGGGGTCCACGGCCTGCAACTGTCTTAGACACTCATCTGGCACTGCCTACTTTCTGTGGTACTTAAGTCCCCCTTGGCCTGGAAGCCTTGTCCCTACCTTGCAGGCGCAGACGCTGAGGCCTAGAGAAGGCCTGAGGCTCCCTTGGTGAGGGGAGGATCTGGGAGCAAGTCCCTGGACCCCAATCCTCGGCTCTGCACTTTTCAGCCGAGTTCCTCAACTGGCTGAGTCCCCCATGAAGGTGCCACTTGGGGCCTCACCGTGCCCAACAGTTGCATGCCCAAAGCTCTGTGAGGCCTGGCAGTGGGAAACCCACTTCCCTGCCGCCCGCGAGCCTCTCCACTGCAGAATCTGTTTCCCCTCAGAGCACAGAAGCGCCTCCCGTGCTTTGGTGGGATGGAGCTGGGCAAGGCTGGTGTGCAGTCAGCAGTCCCCATTGGGGTCTGTCAGGGAAGCAGAAACCCCCCAGTTGCTTTAGTAGAGAGAATTGAACATAGGGACAGAGATGTTAAGTAACCAAAAAAAGTGAACCAGGAACCCAGCGGGACACAGCGGAACAGCAGGAAGCAGCCCCTCCCCTGGGCTGGGGGAATGCAGGGAAGAGGTTGGGTTATTAGCACCCGGGCGTTCAGTGGGGCCCATAGAGCTGGGACCCTGCCCTCTGCCCTCTGGGAAGGGGTGCTGCCCTATGGGTGCTGGGGCCTTCCAGAGGCTTGGTGACGTTGGTTCCAGGAGTGCTGACCGGGGAGGCTGGGAGCTCTGGGCGCGGCCAGTAGGAATAGCCTGTGGTAGGAAGGGAGTGAGCCCTAACCCCACCTCCTGTCTGGAAGCCTCCCCCAAGGCCCCTGCTGGTAGCACCTAACAGCTGCCGCCGGGCAGAGAAGTGGTGGGGTCGCAGCCCCGCAGCACGGCAGAGCCGAAGGGTGGGTGGAAGGCTCAGCTCCACAGCCTCCTCCTACGTCCATGCATGAAAGCTTCCCACCTGCTAACATGCAGCCCTCCTCCCTGCCAAGGAGGGGCTCCCATGCCCTCCCCAGAAAGGGGAGAGGGGCCGCCCAGCAGCTGCCATTTCTTAGTCATGGGCGTGGTATCTGTCCTGTTGGCCCCGTGGATGTTCTGTAACTTACAGGCTAAATTGTAAACTACCACTGGGAATCCTTATATGAAATTAGGAGGGGCAAGGAGGGAGGACAGAGATTCATTAATAAGCACAAACACATGCCTACATAACCAGCAAGGGAGAAAACACGCACAGCTGACAGACAGTGCTGATTTTGCTCTGGCTGTGGGCCTGCTATTCCTAGTCCTTTCTGCCACCCACTCCACGGTCCCTTTGCCTCATCCACTTCTCCAGCTGGTCTGGGTTCTTCACCCTCATTCCCGAGGGACCGAGTCCTTGGTGGTCCTGCTTTCTTCTGATGGCTGGAGTTCTCTGCTAATTTTTCCTGTTGGATGTGGGAGTATTAAGAGATGCCCCAGAAGACCCCTGACCTGCCCTCTGTTTTGCTCTCGGGGTAACATCTGTCGTTGGAAATTGGCATCCTTTACCGCCCCCCCAGCACATCAGCCCCCCTCTATGAACAAGTTATGGTCCAACCCAGTGGGTCCAGCGTGTGTCCCTGCTGGAAGCATCCCCCCTCGGAATCAGATGTTTCTAGACCAGGGGAGCCCAGAAAGGTGGGAATGGGAAGTGGAGATGCTGCCACTCCTGTCTCCTCACCCTGGGTCCCAGTGAGTCCTGGCTGGGGGAGGAACAGCCCTGCCAAGTGGCGAGGGGTTCAGAGCCTGTGCTGTGCTCTGTAGCCTACAGCTGGCAGTGTCACTGAGTCTCCCTAAGGCTCTTGCACCGGTCCTGCAGGCCGGCTGCTGTCAGGGGTTGCTGGGGCTGCGCTGTAAGATGCGTTCTTTGACCTGAAGTGGTGTTTGCAGGGCTGTGAGGTGGTGGCTGATTCCCCACCGAGTTCATCCAAAGCGTGATGGGTGCCAGGATGGAAAGGAACCCAGAGCGCAGTGCTAGGGGAGGCAGCGCTTCCGCTTTATGCTGAGATAGCAGTGGGGTGACAGCCAGCAGGCCAGGGGCTGTGGCTGGTAGGCCTGGGGTGGGCTGGAGTGGCTGGGGGGGGCCTGCTCCCCTGGGCCCTGCAGGCCACAGTCAGAGCCTGGCAGCCATCGGAGGGTTTTGGTTTTGCACAGGGAGCTGAGAGTGTGAGACTGGAACTGAGATCTTGGATTTGAGAGTGACCATGGGAGGAGTCCAAAGCATATACGTGATACTTAAAGTCACAAGGATGGATGAGCTTGAGTCAAGGGTGTAAGGCCAGAGGGAGGAGATGAGGGGTGCAGGCAGTTGGCGGGGGGTGGGGAGGGCTGGCTGTAGGCTCAGGGAACCTGGGGGCAGCCTATCTGGTGCTGAGAGCACGAGGCAGGGCCAGAAGGTGTTTGTGGGCTTAGTGACCTGGAAGTTACTGCAGGTGGGTCCCAGTGCCTGGGAGAGGAGGATGGATTGGGACAGGAGCAGGGAAGTGTGGAGCGGGTGAAGGGGAGATGGGGGTTTGGTGTGAGTCGAAGGTGTGGTCACGGTGGGGGAGCGGGGAGGTGACAGCCAACCCTTGAGAGGGCTGGGTGGCTTCCCAGAACGGCAGGTGGTGGGCTGTACAGGGGTCCTGAAGGGAAGGGGGAAAGAGGGGATGTGTGTGTGTGTGTGTGTGAGTGTGGGGGTGGGGGTGGGGGCTCCTGGGAACAGTGTGGGAACAGTGTCTGTCTCTGGGAGGGAAGGAAGGAGGGGAGTGGTTGAGGAGGGAGGAGGCAGGGACCGTCCCCTGAGAGGTGGACAGCAGCTTAATGGGGGCGTGGGGGCAGTTGGGTGCTTTGAGAGCAGGTGGCAAGGGCTGGAAGGAGGTATGGCGGCCACCACCCTTTCTGGCTGTGCCCTGGGTGGGCAGTGGGGGGACAGGCTCTGATACGGACTGGGACAGAAATGCTAGATGGGGGAGCCTGGCCACAGTGCCCAGGAGTCGAGAGACACAGAGGTCGGCAATAAGGAGGGAGAGTGGAGGCGTGTGGCCCAGGAAGGGCCTCAAAGCTGGTTCTGGAACCCAGGCCCCCGACTCTGAGCCCGGGGCTCGTAGGGTGGCCCCCAGGGCACTGGGGTCTCTGGTCTGTTTGCCCCCATGGTGGCAGGTGTGGGGTGGGACTTAGGACGCAGGCGGGTTCTCAGTTGCCCGTGTCTCTTGCAGCCCCTGCGCGTCCGCCGGCTCCTGCGCCCCTTCTTCCTGCTGCAGAACTCCTCCATGATGAAGAAGACCTTGAAGTGCATCAGGTGGTCGCTGCCGCAGATGGCCAGGTGGGCTGTTGAGGCCTGTGGGTTGGGCCATGCGGTGTGGGGCTCCTCTGCAGCTGTGCTCAGACCCGGAGGGGGTCTGAGAGGCCCCCTGGATGCCTGCCAGCCCTGGCTCCCTCCGGGCTGGTGGGGAAGCTGGTGGGTCTCTGGTTCTAGTTCAAGGGTTGGGAGCCCTGTGAATAGCCCCCGCAATGGGTCTGCTCGTCCTCTCTTGTGCCCCTGTGACCGCCCCCTCCCCTCTGTTGCCTCCTTCCACGCCACTTGGCGTTGGCGTGCCCTCAGCGTTGGCTTTATAAGGCCGAGCGGCTCCTGCCGTGGTTCCTGCACCACCAGAGGTACGGGGCTCTCGTCTGCATTCCAGGCCCAGCCTCCCCTGCCGCCCGGAACCCCCATCCCCTCTGTCCTTGCCAGTGGCAGTGCCGCTGCGTCTCCTGTGGCTCCCGTGCCTGACCGCCTCACCATCCAGCCCAGATGGGTGGAAGCGGCCTCTCTGTTCTGAGGGTCCCTGGTCTTTCATGCTGCTGCTTCTGGGCCCCCAGGGTTGCTTTCTCCCTGCCAAAGAAAGGGGGTTCTGCCAGACAGGACCAGGCCTGTCCTAGACCCCATGGCTGAGCACGAGGCAGGTGCTTGGGGGAGAGGGCGGGACCGAGCTGCTGCCTGGCTCTGCCGTGAGTGCTCCCCTCTTGAGCCCTGCCCATCCCACTCGGGCTGGGGGCCGCACTCTGTCCCGTGCTGAGTGCCCGTGTCCTCCCCTAGCGTTGGGCTGCTGCTGGCCATTCACCTGTGTCTCTTCACCATGTTCGGGATGCTGCTGTTCGCTGGGGAGAAGGTGAGGTGCCTGGCGGGCCGATGGGATGGACAGAGGGGCTCGGCTGGTGTCATCTGCACTCACCCACTTAATCCAGTGCAAACTCTGTGCACTAGTTCTTGAGCCAGGTTGGCAGAGATCCAGGACCAGGTTATGCCACCTGCCTGAGACACCCTTGCCCCGCTCCCCATCTCCCTGTCCCCGTTCTAGCCTCCCTGCTCCTCCCACCCGAACTTCGTTCCTTCCTTTTCCTCCCTCTCACCCTCCCTTTCCCTTCCCCTTACCCCTCCCTCCCCCTCCCTGTGTCCCTCCTTGCCCCTCCCTGCTAGGGGAGAGTGATTCACTGAGAGTGATTCTGCTGGTTCGTCCTCCAGCCCCTGTCACACCTGCTGACACCTAGTGTTCCCTGCACCCCTCCTGGACTGTGGCTCCCAGACGGCACTGGCTTACTGGGGTGGCCCCACCCTTGCACCCTCTCCCTGCTCTTGTCTCCACATCCTCTTCTCTAGCCGCCTTGGCACCTGCCTTGCTGCCCTCCACCCCCAACCTGCGATGCCATGTGTCTATCCTGTCCTGGCCAGGGTCACTGTCCTCCTCATTGTTGGGCCTGGTGCTTCTCTCCTGCTTTGTTCTGGGAATGTGGGTGGCACTTGGCCAGGGCTGGTCTTCACGAGTTTGTGGCAATATTTGGGGTTGAGGCTGTGCCACCCAGGAAGGGAGGACTGAAGACCGCGCCTTCTACCCCTGGATGGAAGCAGTCAGCCCCAAGGGGCCGCAGCCCCACTGTGTGCACATGCATATGTGTGTATCTGTGTCTGTATGTCTGTAGGTGTGTGTGTATTTGTGTGTGTCTTTGTGTATCTGTGTGTGTGTGTCTGTATCCAAGCATGTGCGTGTCTGGGTGGCAGGGGCAGCTGGGCTGTTGCAGGGGGACTAGCTGATGGAATCTCAGTGATGGCCGCGGTCACTGCTGTTTCTCAGAGTCCAGGACGGGTGGCCAGAGTCGGCGTCGGGGCTGGAGGTGGTGACAGCCTTGGCCTCAAGACTGGGGCTGTGGGCCTTCGTCCCAGAAATGCCGAGTGTCCTGAGGTGCCTGGCAGGGTTGGCTTCTCCCCCAGGCTTGGGTTTCTGCCCCAGGAGGGGGAATTGGGCTGAGCAAGGCGGGTGTTGTGTAATTGTGGGGGATACAGCTGCTCATTGTGGTCTTGCCAAGGGTCCAGTTCTCTGCCCAAGGGTCCAGTTCTCTGCAGCTCAGAGGAGCCTGTGGTGGTGGCCGACCTGTCCTGGGTTCCTTGACCTCAGCCATTGTGCCGCCTTGTCAGCCTGGCCTGGGGTGGGAGCTGGGCCTTGCCCCTGGGTGCCCCTGTTCAGCATCCCCTGGCTTGTGCCGGCTGAGGGAGCCCCTGACCTTGTAACCCCTGTGTCCCCTACCCCTGTAGTGGTTAGCTCACCTGTCCTCGGGGCCCCTGACTGGGCAGACCAGGGGGCAGTGCCATTTCATATGTGAGGACTCAGAGGCCGTGGTGTTGGTGATGTGTCCTTGGGCCCCGAGCAGGAAGGGCAGCCTGTGCAGCAAAGAGTGGTCATCGTGGGTGGCTCCTGGCAGGGGCCTGCTTGCAGAGTTGCCCTTGGCCGACAGCTGGGAACTTGTCTTTGAAACGATCCCTAAGTGAGAAGATGTTTTGTGTGTTTGCGGGGTGAATCCTGCTGTACACCTGCCCCTGCGGTTTGTACGGCCATTCCGGCTTACAGGGGTCACCCATCCTGTTGGGAGTCCGCAGGCTTGGCGGCAGAGGGTGCCTACATGCCCAGACCTTAGGGAGAGCCCTGGGCTTGGAGTCTTGAGTGGAGCTACCACGTGCTTGCTGTGTTTTGACGCTGGGACCCCTCCCTGGAGGGAGAGAGGGTAGGCAGCGGGTGCACACGCCCCTTGCTGATAAGCCCGGCACAAGGCCTCTGAGTCCCATGAGTGGCCGGTGGCCCCCGATGCACAGCCTGTAGAGTGGGTGAGGGCTCCCCTGGGTATTCATGACCCAGGTTCCAGCTCTTGCTCCCAATGTGGCAGCCTGCTCAGGAGTCTTGGCTGTGCTGAATGTGGGTGCTGGTTGCCAGGCTGTGATGCTCTGAGCTAGGCTCGCTGAGGGCTTTTCACTGTGCTTCTGAGCAGGCCTGCTCTGATGGCCAGTGTCTCTGTGGGTGCACGGCCTCTCTGGACGCCCGTTTTTGTGCCCAGAGACTCTGAGTTTGGCCGTGTGCTCAGAGCCTGCTGAGAAAAGATGGGAAGAGGCAGGCACCAGGCAGCTGGGTGGATGTTTCCAGGTTGCTGGGGCCAGGGCCTGGAGCTCTGCTGCCTGTGGCCTCAGCTCGTGGGGCAGGGCCCAGTGGCTTCTAGAGCTGCCGCTTCTGCTCTGAGCAGGACGACGGGCAGAACAAGGAGAGGATGACCTACTTCCGGAACCTGCCAGATGCTCTGACTTCGCTCCTGGTGCTGCTGACCACCGCTAACAACCCTGATGGTGTGTGTGGGGCGCGGCGCGTGGGGGGAGGGCGCGTGGGGTGAGGGTTCCAGGCTTCAGCGCCCCTGGGAGTTCTTGCCTGTGTCTCAGCAGGTGGGGGTGAAGGGTGGCACTCTCCTTCCCTTCCCTCTTCTTTGTCTTCCTCGCTTTATTCTTTTTCAGCGTCCTTTTCATCGTTCCTCTTCTCTTTCCCACTTGCTTCCTTTTTCTTTCCATTTTGCGCCTTTGCTCGCTCTTCGTTTTTCTTCTCTTGGTCTCTTCCTTCCCTTGTCTCCTCACTCCTCTGAGCAGCTACGAGTGATGGGTGTTCCTTCTGTGGTGTCATGTGGTGGTGGCCAGTGGGCTTCCTATGGGGGCCGCCCAGGCCCAGCTGTGGGGTGCCACTTGGCAGTGTTGCACGTGAGAGGCCCTGCGGTCTGGGCCGGCTGTGGCACCTGCTGTGTCATGGTGCCGACGAGTCCGTGGCCGCGAAGGTGCGGGTGTGGCCAGGTTGGAGAGGCCGTGGTCGGGCTGGGCTGTGACCAGGCCATTCTGGCTGGGGCCTTTCCTTTTGGGCTCAGGGGTGGTGACTGGCCATAGAGACCTTCTCAGGAGGCAGCCAGGGAGCTTCCTCTCCCAGGGAGCGCTGTGCTGCTGGACATGTGTCCTGTGAGTCGTGGCAAGTCCCTGCAGGCAGAGCTGAACTGTCTGTCGGGCGTGTCACAGGGAGGCCGACTGTACCTCTGCCTAGGGACCATCGTCCTTGATAAGGAGTCCCCGTTCCCAGGGCGTGCAAGCAGAGGCGTGAGGGTTGGAATTCGGACGAGAAGGCCTTCGCGCTCACTGTGCAGGGCCCGCCTCGCTGTTGAGGGGCAGATGTACTGGCAGATGTCGCGGCGGGACGTACTGAGGGTGTCAGTGCGATTGCAGCTTCTTGGGTGTCTTCTTTCTCTCAGTGATGATTCCTGCGTATTCCAGGAACCGGGCCTACGCCATCTTCTTCATAGTCTTCACCCTGATAGGTGAGTGCGGGCGCGTCTGTGTGGGCCACGCGGCCAGGATTCTTCCCTGGTGACGGGATCCTGTGTGCTCAGTGCGGGTGTGCCCTGCCCCCCACCCTGTGGCTTCACCTCTGTGTTCCCGACCCTGTGGCTTGACCTCAGTGTCCCCCACCCTGTGGCTTTACCTCGGTGACCCCCGACCCCATAGGTGTCCCCTACCTTAGTGTCCCCTACCTCATAGCTTCCCTAGCGGGGTGGTCTCCTCTGACCGTGTCTTTTTCGTCTGGAAGGAAGCTTGTTTTTGATGAACTTGCTGACGGCCATCATCTACAGTCAGTTCCGCGGCTACCTGATGGTGAGTGAGCCGCCACCCTGCTGGGCTGTGCCCAGAGCTGCCCCTGGAGGGCCGGCAGGGCATGGCTTGAACTGACCAGAGGGGGGGTGATCCCTCAGGCTCGCTGGCCAGGCTCCCTGTGGGGTGGGAGGGTGGACAGGGTCACTCCCTCTTGGGGAGGAGCCAGAGATAATAAGCATGTTGTTCCGCAGCCACCCAGGGTCCCCTTCCTGTGCCCCGCCCCTGTAGAGGGAAGTTGCCAGGATTGTGGCTTCCAGTGCTGCTGGCTCCCACCCTCCTGTGGGGAGCTGGGGCCCCCAAAGACACAGAGAAGAAACACGTTCTTTGGTGAACGCACAGCGAGCTGCTGTCGGGCACCAATCCTGGCTGGGCCTGGGTCCGGCTTCTTCCTGCCTGGACTGTGCCTTGGAATCTCTGTGACCGTTTCTGCTGCTGCCCAGGCTGCGGGTGGGCTGGGTGCCCTCAGAGGCTGTCCAGGCTCCCCCTTTGCCTACTCCCCAGGAGAGGATGTGTGGCCAGGAGAGGGCCGGGCCAGGCCACTCAGAGCCATTCTCCTTGCAGCAATCTCTCCAGACCTCGCTGTTCCGGAGGCGGCTCGGGACCCGGGCTGCCTACGAAGTCCTCTCCTCCATGTCTCGGGAGGGAGAAGCCTCCCCTCAGGGGTGAGTGCCAGGGCCCTGGGACCCTCTCCTCTCCGAGGAAGTGGGTGCCGTTGCTACTTTGGGAGTGGGAGTGGGGTGTTCTTAGGGACTTCCCAGGCACTGACTGCACCTTGCTCCCTCCCAGCTGCGCTGGGCTCAATCCTCCGTTCAGATCACGGCACCTGCATGTCCCAGTGTTCTGTGGTTCCCGTGGCTCTTGCCCTGAATCCATGATTTGTCTTCGGAATCCCCCTGGAGGCCCTGGGCTGGTGAAGGGCTGAGCCGCTCTGGCCTGCTCTCCTCTCCTGCCGCTGTGCTCTCCCACACCTCTAAGCTGGTACCTTGGCGTCGGAACCTGAGGCGCTTGGATCAGTTGTCCACTCTGCTGAACTGTTTGGAACTGAGGGCAGAGAGCTTGAGAATGTCACTGTGCAAGGTTCTGATCCTGACTGCTGGGTGGCAGTGGAGTCTCTGTGTGCCCCTCCCCAAAGGAGCACAGCAGTGTGTCCCTTGCAGGCCCGTGGTAGACGCCCTTAGCAGAGGTTCGTGTCATGGCCCAGGGCTGCAGAGTGGATTCGTGGTGAGGCTCAGGCCGGACGCCAGGACCCACCCAGGCCTGGGTTCAGAGGGAGCTGTGCTCACTGAGGCGAGGGTTTTTTTCCTCCACAGAGTTGGGGTGAAGCCCCAGAACTTACTACATGTGCTTCAGAAAGTGCAGCTGAGCAGCTTCCACAAACAGGCCCTCATAGAGGTAACTGCTTCCCTCGCACCCGCCCCCACCTGCTCTGGGCTCCACCGGGAGGTCACGTGGGCCAGCAGCCCCTTTTCAGGACTGGGGATGTGGTTTCGGATCAGTCCCATTGTTCACAGCCCTGCTGGGGTGGGGCTGGGCGCCTCATCTTCTCTGGGCCACGTCACTTCCCGCTGGCCCCGGCCAACTGCCTTTCCCTCCTCTGCAGAAGGTGCGCTCCTACGGAGACGTCCCCCTGTCAGCCAGCGAGTTTCAGAGACTCTTCCACGAGCTTGACAAAAGTGGGGTTAAAGAGGTAAGTGGGGGCCGCTGGGGCTGGCCTGGGTTGTCTGCCCAGAGTGGGGCCGCGCTGGGTGAGTGAGGGCTCCGCAGTTTCCCCTGTCGTTGATCACCCAGAGAACTCAGTGACGGGCGCCAGCACTCACCTGCCCAGGGATTACGGCTCCTAGCACAGCAAGTAGAAATGGAGATCCGTTTGCCTCTTGGAAACTGGGTGATTTTATTGACCTGATGAAATTCATGAGACCCCAGGAACAGGCCGGAGCCCACCCTGACGCAAGAAACCTTCTAGATGGTTTTCTCCATTTCCATGACAAACTTTCCTCTTCCTGTGTGTCCTGCCCCAGAGGTCTGGACGCTGGTCCTCTCCAAGGTCTTTGTCTTTTGTCCTTGACACTGATTTGCACAGTCACCAGGTGGGCCTTGGCACTGTCCCAGAGGCCTGGAGTGGCTTCTGGGGGGTGGGCAGAGATGTTGGGAAACAGCTGGTTGTTCACAGGCAGTTTGTGGGGCAGTGGAGGGGCTGTCCTTCCAGCTGCTCAGCCTTGAGAGAACCGAGCTGGACCCTGGCATGGGCGTGGGGGTGAAGGGGCACAGCCAAACCTTTGTGCCGGCTGCTCCTGCCAGTATTGTGCCATCGGCGTGACTCGTCTGCTCAGGCTGTGGTGACGAAGCACCACAGACCGGGAGCGGGCGGTGGTGCTTGAACAGCAGATGTTCACTGTCTTGAGGCTGGTAGCCCAGGCTGGAGGTGTTGCAGGGCTGATTCCTTCTGAGGCCTCTCTCCTTGGTTTGCAGACGGCTGCCTTCTCCCTGTGTCCTCACGTGGTCATCCCTCTGTGTGTGTTTGTGTCCTAACCTGTTTCTGTAAGGACCCCAGTCAGACTGGATTAGCGCCCACCTTAGTGACCCCATTTTAACCTAATTGTCTGTTGAAAGGCTCTGTCTCCAGGTACAGTCCCATGCTGAGGTCGGGGGTTAGGGCTTCAACGTAAGAATTTTGCAGGGGATGAGATTCAGCCCATAACAGCTGTCAGTTGCTGCAGGATTTGTTGTAGTCCTCTGGCCTCAGGCCCCTGTCAAAGGTGGTTTTCTTATAAACATGTTTTCTGAAGGTCTTTCCAGACTGTCTGGAGCCAGGCCTGCGGCAGCCTTAACCTTGGGTGCCACGGGCTTGTCCTGTCCTCATTTGGGGCATCCCTTTTAGAGCAGCGCTCCTCAGAGTGTGGCACCCCACATTCCCCTGGGGGCCCGGGAGCCAGTCATAGTGACATATCAGCAGGTGACACTGTGTATTCACGCCACCAGACCTCTGCATGGGATAAGGCTGGGCAGTGGGGTCTCAAAGTTGGCTTGAAGACAATACTAAGAGCATGCTCTTAGGTGTAGATTTTGCAGAAACTGTGGAAATCGTCCTCAGATGACAGAAAATTAGGAGGCACTGTTTAGATAATGGCTCTTGTCCTAGGGCCAGAGGTTTGCTGGGCTCCGGAGGCAACTCTTAGCAGCTGTCATGGGCCAGGTTTGCTGTGATGCTGTGACAGACCTGGGCTGGGAGAGGTTGGACATCATAAAGGGTTCTGGAAAGGCGGTTTTTGCTCATTTGTGTCCTCTGGGCCACGTGGGCTCTTCCTGGGAAGTTGCCTACTGACCTGTAGGAAGCTGCTGAGTCCTGGTTATTCAAACTCGACTTTCCTCCTCTCTCCCAGTGTTAGGATTTGAGATCGTCCTACGAGATTGCTTTGGTCCTGGCCCCGAGGAGTGGGCTCATGCCAGGCACAAGGTTGAGTAAGGCCCAAGACACAAGCCACATCCCTGCTCTGGCCATGCCTTTCCCAGCCTGGCCGTTTCCTCTGAAGCCTGCGGAATGCTGTCTCTTACCATGGTGCCCTGGGGTCCACGGTCCAGAACTGGGGTTTGAGATGGGACCTTGGGTTGCAGAGGTTTTGGGAGCTATGATATCCTTGCCCTGGTTTTATGACACCCTCTTCCCCTACAATGCCGACCTCAGTGGGAGGCAGTACATTTATGCCTTGTTATCCATGGGGGACTGGTTGTAGGACTCCCCGCAGATACCCAAATCCCTGGGTGCTCAAGTCCCTGATATACAGTGGCATCATATTTGCATATAACCTACACACAGCTTCTCATATGCTTTAAATCATCTCTAGGTTATAATGTAAATGTTGCATAAATAGTTATTATACTGTATTGTTTAGGGAATACTGACGGGAATACAAAGGTCTGTGTGTGTTCGGTAGACGCTTTTTTGCCCTGAATGTTCTTGATCTGCAGTGGTTTGAATCCGTGACGTGGAACCCATGGATAGGAAGGGCTGACGGGATTTCATTTTGAAAGGCAGATGCTTCCAGGATTGCTGACATTTGAGGCAGGCTGTGGTTTGGGGATCACTCCTCCAGGGAGGTGCTCTGTGGGCAGGCTGAGGTCACGGGCGCTCGAGCCTTTTAGGGAGCCTCCTGTGTGGTCATTGCCGCCCAGCAGCCTCTGCCAGCTTCTGCAAGCGGTGTCTTCTTTTTATGAGCAGCTGTTTGGGTTAAAAATGGAGTATTCATTATAGATAATAGAGCGAAATGGAAAAAGCCACCATCCTGTCCCCCTACCCTGAAATAACACAACCACTATAATCATAGCAAAGTTTCTTTCTTAATTACACAGGTGACATGTGCATACTTTCTTCTTGTAACAATTTAAACATGATGGCTGATGCTGGAATCTCTCTGGCCAAGGCAGCAGTCTGGGCCAGTCAGGGGACAGGAGCCACCCAGTGGGTCAGACAGAGAAAGTGTGCGTGAGGAAGTGGCAGTGATGATAAAAGAGTAGCTGTGAGATACACGGAAACTCTTTGGTGCCCAGGGCCGAGGGCGAGTGCCGTGGAAGGGGACCTTCCTGCAGGCCGGATTCAGACCTTTCCAGAGAAGGTGTGATTCAGCCTGCAGGAGGACAGGGACGTTTGCTGTTCCGTCTGGGCCAGAGTTGGTCTCTGGTCACTGGGCAAGCAGGAGGCAACCCTCCCGGGTGTGGCAGGCCAGGCCAGCAGCAGGCGGTGGCACAGGCTGGGAGGGGGCATTGGTTTGGGCAGGTGGCCTTTGGGCGCTGGTTTCCAGTGGAGAACTGTGGAGGTTGGCAAATTACCAGCAGGTCAAGCTGTGGCTGTAGGTCACCAGGGGACCGCGTGTCTGGGTGGGACAGGGTGCCAGCAGATGTCCTCACGCCATACCCTGACCCACCACGTAGCACCCGGAAGCTGCAGGAGAGCCTCGCCCTCCTGCCACGTCCTTCTAGCGCCCTCTCGTAGGTGAGAGGTGCTGAAAGGGACCCCGCCCATTGTGGCGGGGCGAGTATTGAGGGCGAATTGGGAGCCCATAATTGGCACGACCAGTTTGGGTCCTGCTCCACGATAGTCACGCCCTTGGTTCCGTATTTTGGTGTTTTCCTTCTAGACTTTCCGCACGCGGTTACAGGCACGTATATGTACCTGAGGAATCATTTATTTTGTTTTCTTTGATGTGTAGATGAAGTGTCCTAATTTTCACTCTGCACCTTGCTTGTTCACTCAGCAGTGTCTCACAGAGATCTCCATTCTCATACGGAGCTATTCTCTCTGTCTGGTACAGTAGCCACTTGTCACAGTAGTTGTCCGTCACTCGAAGTGTGGCGATTGCCCCTGAGGAACTGAGAGTCAAATGTTACTGGATTGAAATTTGCAATAAGTAGCCACACGTGGTCCGTGGCTCCTGTGTGGGACAGCAGGCACAGGGCGTGGGCTCCCTCTCTGCTGTGTCACGGTGCATTCACTGAGGAATATTTAGGCCATTTCCATTGTCTGCTGTAGTCACCATCCTGTGACTCTGTCCTCATGCACAAAGAAGGGTCTCGAGGGCGGGTGCCGAGCTGAGGAAGTGCTGGTCTCGCGAGTGTGTTCACGTTGGCAGCTGTTGCCGGCGTGACCCCCCTGCTTTCCTGCCCCGCCTGCTCACAGTGCACGAGGGAGTTTGCTCTGCGCTCAGTTTTCGTGGCTTGCAGCACACCATTTGTGTGTATTTTTTCACACAGCGTTTTTCGTGGGTGAACAGTTCGCATACGTTTAAGATGGCTGCATCATATCACGATGTGGTTTGCTTATACTCAGTGCACGTTCTGGTTATTTCTGCCTCTCTTCTGATGTTATAGAGACCACTGTCAGGAACAGCTTTGTGTATAAAACTATTCCTGTTTGGGATTATTTACTTAGGCTGGATAGACTATGATAGGAGATAAAGTAGGGAAACATTGAATCCCAGGGTAAGAGGGCACGGGCGTCTTGGGGCTGGAACGTGTTTCTGAGCATGTGTGTTTCCTGCCCAGCACCCGGCGAGGCCCGAGTACCAGTCTCCGTTTCTGCAGAACGCCCAGTTCCTCTTCGGCCACTACTACTTTGACTACCTGGGGAACTTCATTGCCCTGGGGAACCTTGTGTCCATTTGCGTGAGTTTGGGGTTGCCTTGTGCTGACGTGGGAGGGGCCCTATTTCTTGGTCCCCTTGCTGTCACGCCTGCCCTTCCTCCCTCGCCCCAGGGCGTCTGGGCCTGCTTGGTGAGCCGCACCCCCACTTCTGGCTTTGCAGGTGTTCCTGGTGCTGGATGCAGACGTGCTGCCCGGTGACCGGAATGACTTCATCCTGGGGGTAAGCTCTGAGGACATTTGCTGGCCAGACTGTGAGCTCTGCTAGGGTCCGAGGGAGTCAGAGAGAGCAGCAAGAGAGCATGGCCTCCCTGCCTGGGGCTCCAGGTCTAGCAGGAGGCAGGGCTGGCCCAGTGCAGAATGAATGTCCCATCATGGGGCCACGGGCGCGGAGGGCGTGTGCCTGGAGGAGGCTGGACCTGGGGAGGCTGGTGCAGGCAGAGGTGATGTGGCCTGGGGGGACTCTTCCAAGCCAAATGACGGAAGACGGAATGGCTGCGTGATGGGATGGCTGCCTGGGCCTGTTGCCGGGGCTGAGGCTGGGCACAGCCAGTAGCACTGGGACCTGACGCTGGGTACTTCTTCTGCGCCTTTCAGATTCTCAACTGCATCTTCATCCTGTACTACCTGCTGGAGATGCTGCTCAAGGTCTTTGCTCTGGGCCTACGGGGCTACCTGTCCTACCCCAGCAACGTGTTTGATGGGCTCCTCACCACAGTCCTGCTGGTAAAGTTGGGGGTGGCTGAGGCCCGGCCTCTGCCAGGTGGGTGGTGTAAGCCCCGCCTGTGGCTTTGTACCGTGTTCTGTCTCAGGCGTCCCTGGAGGACCAGAGGGCTTCCTGCCTCAAGTGACAAAGGCGGCTGGCTTCTCCCCTGCCAAGCTGCTTGGTGGGTGGCCGGTGCGGGTGTAGGAGCCTGGGTCTCCGCCGCCTGTGTGCGTCACAGGGGCAGGCTGCCACCTTACCCTCAAGGGAGGCCCGGAAGGACCCGTAGCCCTTGCCAGCTAATCCAGCCCCCAGCATAGCCTCTAATGCCACCGATTCATGATGTGACCTTGGCATGGGTGCAGTGAGGGGCTGGGAGGTCACAGGCACCCAGGATGTCCTCGGGAAAGTTACACTTCCTTTCCCCAGACATTGTGGGAACGAGGATGTGTGTCACAATAGTGATGCCAGAGCGACATTTACTCATTTGGTCAGAGCCAGGAGGCCACTCGGAACGTGAGTGCAGAGAATTCTCGAAGGGCCTCTTAGTCTGTCCTTGACTCAGTAGCTTCTCCACCCCACCCTTGCTGTGCTCGGGCCCTGATTCCCAAGGCCAGGGTTTCCAGCTGAAGGAGTCCTCACATCTGGAACTGACCCCTGGGGACAAGGATCAAGCTCTGATTTCTCCCCAAAATCCCCTTTTGGGGAGAACATGTTAGACATGAGCTTTATAATTCATTTAAGACCCACCCAGATTAGCGTTGCTGTAGCGATGCCTTCTTCTCTTTTGTAATTAAAGGTTTTGGAGATCTCAACTCTGGCTGTGTACCGATTCCCACACCCAGGCTGGTATGTGACTGGGGAGAACCGAGGGACGCTACAGCAAACAGTGCCCTTGTCTAGCCCCCGGCGGGGGGTCTCAGCTGCCCCCTAGGAGGTCCGGGCCTGCTTGCTTGGGCTGCCCTGACTCTAGGGCAATTGTTGGGCTAATGCTGCCCGGCAGAGGGTTGTGTGGGGGCGGAGCCCTGCTCAGTGCTCTTGGGACGCTCTTCAGAGCGCAGCACCCCTGTGGCTGTCGGGAAGCAGTTGTGTTTCCCTCCGAGGCGCCTTCTAGAGCGACAGTGGACTCCCCTCCCAGCACCATGATAGGACATGTGGCCCCAGCTGTGTGGGAGGCTGGAAGCAGAGCCGTCCCAGGCTCGGGTCTGGGGGGCCTGTGGTCTCTGGGATTGAGCTGGGCCCCTCCCCTGGCAGGAAGGCCCCTGTGTAAGCTCTGCCTAGCAGCGAGACCATCAGTTTTTATCCTCCTTAAAGTGGTGGAAGCCAGGGGCCTGGGGCGTGATGAACTCTTACCATGCCCTCGGAGCCCCACTGCCCCTGGTTCTGGCCAGGTAGAGAGACACCTGGGCAGCGACTCTAGGGAGCCTCGTGGCATGGCAGGGTGCAGGCCTGCTGCCGGGGCCTCTGTCAGTGAGGCTGCTCTGCCCCAGGAGTGTGACAGCCATCGGGTGGTGCTGAGATATGCCTGTGATGAAACAGGAAGAGGGTGGCACGGCCCCAGCAGGGCCCGTGGTCAGCTGGACTCTTTTGGTATCTCTGCGTGTGCTGCTTTCAACTCACCTGTGCCGCTGTCTAGTGAGCAGCTGGGAATCGCTTGAGTGTGGAGTGGGGTTGGAAGACTCTCACTGTACCGCCACCTCCCCGGGAAACCTGCCAGAACCTACCTTGGGAAGATGGGCAGTGATGCCACACTGTCTCGTATTACAGGCTGGTGTTCTCTTGTCTCTAATGTGCCGTGAATGCCCCTATTGCACTTGTGTCTGAGTTGTCACCTCGCGAATCATGGGGGTGACATTCTGGGTGAGAACGGGTTTAAGTTTAAATAGAAATGAAAGAACAGAAAGGCCACGAGGGATGCCGGGAGGAGGGTGGTAGGGCCCAGGGCAGGGACAGGGTCGGACAGGACAGGAGACAGGGTCTGGGAACAGGGCACAGGGTCAGGGAAGGAGGTCAGGGGTCAGGCTCATGGGACAGGAGACGGGGTCAGGGAATGAGGCCGGGGTCAGAGTCATAGGACAGGACATGGGGTCTGGGGACAGGGGATGGGGTCAGGGTCACAGGATAGAAGATGGGGTCTGGGGACAGAAGTTGGAGGCAGGGGATGAGGTCAGAGGTCAGAGTTGTGGCACAGGAGATGGGAGATGGGGTCAGGGGACATGGTTTTGCCCAGTTCTGCTGGGACCTGGCAAGTCCCAGCATCTGGAACCTCAGCGTTCTCCTGTGTAGACAGGAGTCTGCCAGCCACGTGCTGCTGTGAGGGCCAGGCTGGAAGGTGTTGTCGTGACCAGGGCTGCCCTGGGCGGCAGGCGTGCACGGGAGCAGTGAGTGGCCCAGGCTCTGCCCTCTTGCCATGTCGGGGCTTTTCTGCTCCGTGTCGGCTACAGGTGTGCTCCCTGTGCCTTGTCCTTGGGGCTTCGCGTCTCCCTGTGTTTTCTTATCCTGGGCCTTTCCCAACCTGTCTCCCACGTGTCTCTCTCCAGGAGGCCACAGATGCAGGGCCTGCTGTCGCTGTGGGACATGGCCCGGCTGCTGAACATGCTCATTGTGTTCCGGTTCCTGCGCATCATCCCAAACATAAAGGTGGGCGGGCGTGTCTGACCCTGGCCCGCGCCCTGTGTGGTTCCAACTATTGCACTGCTCCTAAGTGGGCGGGCCTGGGGTGGCGAGAGACTGAGGACCGTCCGATCACCTTGGGCCCTCTGGTGCACCCTCAGCTCTGCCGCACTCTGTGGTGCTGGGTGAGAAGTGCGAGGGTCCAGGCCCGTGTGGCTGGGGGAGGAGAGCCAGGGCCAGCGGGGTGTGGTGGCCCGATGCCCTTGGCCAGTGACAGGAATAGCTGCGTGCTCTTTGGGGCCCTGGCACCTTTTGAATAGAAACGTTCCCAGGTCCTCTGAGGTTTCCGGAAAGGCGTTTGTCACAGGCTTCGAGGCACTAGTAATGAGGGGCAAAGGTGCAGGGGGCCAAGGTGCTCACTCCCAGGACCTCCTGACGTGTGGGTGTGTCGTGGCCATCTCCGAGCTGCGGTTTCTCTTAGCGAACTTTGAAGGGGAGGCAGGCAGGGTGGTCAGGTGTTCAGGCCCATCCCCCCCTGGCATGGGGCAGGCCTTGCTGCTTCTGTCTCTGTTTTCCTAAGAACTTCCCAAGGAAGACCCCTCTTCTGAGTGTCCAGGTCCTTCCTCTGTCCACTTTCAGCCTTCTGCTGAGCTGTGTACCTGTCCCACCTGTGGGTTACCTTTAGCCCAGCAGCATTTCCCATGGGAAGGCGGCTCTGGGGTCCTGAGCACAAATGGGGGGCTTTCATGATGCACGCACACACGTGCACATGCAGTCACATATAATCACACATGTGCTCATACACCTGCGCACATATGATCACACAGGCATGCCTGGTCAACACATAATTACACACATACAATCATGCATGCACATGCTGCATGCCACCACACACATACACATGCACACATATGTACACCTGCATAACCATATGCATGAATAATCCCATACACGTACACACAAACTTGCACGCATATAAGATATATCATGTGTGTGTACATATACAGTAAGGCCTCACATACCATCTTCAGTAGCTTCTTGGAAATTGAGTTTAAGCCAAATGACACGTAATGAAATCAATTTTTTTTCCTCCTCAACATTATAACGGGCCAGGCGTGGTGACTCATGCCTGTAACCCTAGGACTCTGGGAGTGCTAGGGAGGATCGCTTGAGCCCAGGAGTTTGAGGCTGCCGTGAGCTAGGCTGACGCCACAGCACTTTACCCTGGGCAACAGAGCAAGACTCTGTCTCAAAAAAAACAAGAAAAGAAAACATTATAATGAAGCGATCTTGAAGGAAGTGATGTTATTCGAGGACCTGCTCTGTGTCTTTTTGCTGAAAGTCAGTTTCTAAGAACCTGTCGACGTCACCTGAGGACTTACCGTGCATACACAAACACGTGCACGCGTGTGTCATGCACATGGTTATATGCACACGTATGCGCATTCGTACTTAATGGTTTCCACCTGCTGCATTTGGCGCTCGTGTGCTATTCAGGTACAGCAGGTGGTCAATTGGGCTTATTTGAAGCCTTTCTCTGGGTCGGGTTGTGTGTGGGCCAGGCGACCCTTTGCAGCCGGCTTCTCTGGCTGGCTCTCTGAGGCCCCCTTGTCAGAGTCAGTGCCACCTCCAGGCCACAAAGGGGCTCACCCGCCCTCAGGGTCGGCAGGCAGAGTGTGGTCTGAGGTCCTGGGTGGGAGGGCTTGGCCAACGGCCGTGGTACTTGGCATCCACGGGAGGGGCTGGGTGGAGTGTGTGGTCGTGAGTGCGTGTGGGCGGGTGTGTGTGGGACGCGAGCATGTGAATGGGTGGGTGTGTACAGGTGTGTGTGAGGGGGCTGCAGGTCCAGGTATATGGACTGATGGTAATTTACCTGTCCTGGGGGTGGGCAGGGATGGTGTCCCCTGAGTGGGGCTGGGAGGAGGAAGGGCTTACTTTGTTCTTGTCCTCAGCCCATGGCTGTGGTGGCCAGTACCGTCTTGGGCCTGATGCAGAACATGCGGGCGTTTGGCGGCATCCTGGTGGTGAGTGCTCGGGCGGTGCTGGCGGCAGGGGAGGCTCCCGGGAGGCTGGCTCGCTGCTCCGTGGGGGTGTCCCTGTGAGGCACAGGTCAGGGCAGGAAGCCAGAGTCGCTCCGTTTGGTTCTAGAGCAAGGACCTGAGGCTGGTGTGGCTGGGGCCCTGCCCAGCCATGCTTCCCTCCCCTGCGGGGAGGCTTTGGTAGCTCTTGAATCCCTCAGGTTGTCTGGCTGTGAGCCATGCTGAGAAACTAATGAAACAAAATTTGAGAGACGTAAGAGTTTTCCTCCCAGGGATCCTCAGAGTCCCGTAAACCGCAGGCTGAGGTTTGGGTCCACAGTTGTTCTCAGAGGGATTTCAGGGACTCATGGCTCCGTTTGCTGGCAGGACCCAGGGTCCATGTCCTGCTCCCTCCCCAGGACAGCCTTCCGCTGAGGAGCTGTGCAGCCCTGCGTGTGGCTGAGCTCAGGCAGGAGGGGCCGTGGCCAGGCAGGCGCCAGCGCTGCTCTGCACCAGTCGATGGGAATTCCTGCTGCACAAGCCCTGCTGCAGTGGGGCTGTTGTCATCTTATTCTGACTACCACGGGGTGGCACCCACGTGGTAGGGAAGGACATCCCCGGGGAACCGCCTGGTGCTCTGGGCCTGGGCCACACGTGCCGGCTGCACCTCTGGAAATAGACTCTTGCATCAGGCGCCGTCTGCCAGGGCCCCTAACTTGCCAGTGGAGGAAGCTGAGGCCCAGAGAGAGGACCAGGTTAGCCCAGGGCATGTGCCCCTCCACTCTCTGCTGCCTGCTGGGACACGCTAGGACGGGTCTAGGGGCAGCCTAGTAGTCTGTCTTCTAACCGTGGCTACTGGGCTACCTGGGAGCAGAGCCGTGGATTCCCTGGGGAGCTTCGTGAACCCCCCCTGCCTCAGGCACGCCGGTGTCTATGGACTCCCCAGCCGGGGGGACCCGTCGTTTGTGCTTTGAGGCAGCAGTTCCATGGTTGGGGCAGCAGCCAGGCTGGGAGCCCCTGTGACTAGGCAGAGGGGTAGCCTGGCTTTGCGGTTCCAGCCCAGGGTGGCGGGGCCAGTCCAGCCCAGGGTGGCGGGGCCAGTCCACCATGGGTGGGCTGACCAGCCCTCGGCCCCTGTCTCCCTAGGTGGTCTACTACGTGTTTGCCATCATCGGGATCCACTTGTTCCGTGGTGTTATTGTGGCTCCTCCTGGAAATAGCAGGTGAGGTGGGGTCTCAGGGTGCCACGGGGAGTGTCTCTGGGTGGGCAGAGGTCTCAGTGGTTCCTTCGGCTTCTCAGGAGGGGAGCCGTGGCCTCCTGGTTCCTCATCTCCCAGCCCACATCCACCCTCCTTGGAGCCCTCCCTGGAGTCTGTGGAACATGCTTCCCACGGCCTGCTCAGAGCAGCACCCCCCAGGCCCCTCTTTGGACCTTCAGGCCAGGATGGGCCCACTGGCAGAGGACGGGTGTGAAGTGCCAGGCCTCAGAACCTAGAGCCCGAAAGCTGCCCCTGCCCCAGTGGGGTGTGCAGGTCCCTGGACCCCACCCTGACCCAGGTGTGCCCTGTCCACCAGCCTGGCCCCTGCCAATGGCTCGGTGCCCTGCGGGAGCTTCGAGCAGCTGGAGTACTGGGCCAACAACTTCGACGACTTTGCCGTGAGTCCTGCACCCTGCCCCAGACCTCTGCTCCCCCAGTTCCCCCTCCTGCCCCCTGTACCTTTCGGACCCTCCTGGACCTTGGTCTGCTGCCCCCACAGGCCGCCCTGATCACACTGTGGAACATAATGGTGGTGAACAACTGGCAGGTGTTCCTGGATGCGTATCGGCGCTACTCGGGCCCGTGAGTCCCCGTCCCCGACAGTGTGGATCGGAGTGAAGACTGGGGGCTCCCTCCCCTCCCGGTTTGGCGCAGGGAGTGGGTCCTTGCCAGGAAAGTCTGCCAGGGTGGCCCTGGGCTGGCCTCGTCCCTTCCCCGTCCCTGGCGCTGGCTGACGACTCTGGGCTGACACCTCCTGGGGGCAGTTGGTGCGTCTGGCTGGGGAATTTGGTAGGGTGGGGAAGCCCCTGACAGCTCAGGCCAGTCCCAGGGATGGTCATGGGTTTGAGTCCTGGCCCCACCTACTGCTGGCCGAGCTACCTGAGCTACTTGCTTGACGTTTCTGAGCTGTGGTTGGATCACCTGTGAAGTGGACGCAGTCACGTGCTCTATGCCTGTGGTCCCCAACTCGTGGCCCGCGGCTCAGTACTGGTCTGTGGCCTGTTATGAAATGGGCCGCTCATCACCGCCTGAGTTCCACACCCCTCCCCCGTGGCATCCCACCCCCCGTCCCTGGTCCATGGAAAAATTGCCTTCCATGAAACCAGTGTCTGGTGCCAAAGAGGTTGGGGACCGTTGCTCTACGTCACGGAGTCCCCAGGAGAGATTCAGTGAGAGCTGTCCCGGCCACGCGTCTTCATGTTTGAGTGATCTCACTCTGCTTATGGCGGCCCTGGGTGGGCCTCTTTCTCCTCTGCAGATGGTCCAAGATCTATTTTGTGTCGTGGTGGCTGGTGTCGTCTGTCATCTGGGTCAACCTGTTCCTCGCTCTGATTTTGGAGGTATCAGAAACCCCCGGGCAGGCTGTGCTAGCGGTAGGGGAGGGGCTGCGGCCTGGAGCTTTGATGGGAGAGTCCCTGCTGGGCCGGGGCTTGGCTAGGGGTCAGCACTGCTTGCCTTGACTGCTGGGGCCCGTGGGACGCTCCTGGCATTGGGCCTGTGGGGATTCTCCTGTGGGGATTCTCAGGCCCCCAGGGCTGCGGCTGAGGGAGGGACTCGAGTGTCTGGCCCTGGCAGGCGCCGGCAGTCCCATGGGGCCTGTGTCCGGGATGAGCTGCTCGGCCCCCGCAGGGGACACCAGGCCCACCCTGGAGGGGGCCAGGGAGGGGCGAGGCTGGTGTCACTCAGGGCCCACACTCATGGGCCCCCTCCCTCCCTCGTGCTTCCCAGAATTTCCTTCATAAGTGGGACCCCCAAAGTCACTTACAGCCCCTTGCTGGGACCGAGGAGGCCACCTACCAGCTGTCTGTGGAGCTCATGTTCAGGTTTGTGGGTGGGGAAGGTGCTTCCGTGTGGTCTCCTGGGGCGTGTAGCCAAGAGCTGGGGTGGGCAGGAGGTGGCAGGCAGGCCCTGTGACGGCCACCCTCCCCATCGGCCCCGTCACCTGGCCTCCCTCGCATGCCACAGGTGAGCAGGTGAGAGAAGCTCCGAGTGGGGTCAGGCTCGGGCTGCTGCCTCTGCTCCTGTGCTGGGGTTGTAGACTTTGCTCTGCGCTCAGAGTGAGCGTATTTGAGGAAGCTTCCTTCAGGTTCTGTTGGTCTCCAGGTCATCCTGTTGGATATAAAGAGGTGGCCCAAGGAAACTGCAGCCCTCTCACGACAACTTTGAGATTGTTCCTCTCCTAGTACAGAAAAGTGACTGGCCACCCAGAGCCCGCCCTGCCGTGGGGCCTCTGTTCCTTCTGTGGGGTTTGCTGTGTCACTGTAGCCGATCTCCACACAGTCCTGCCAGCCAGCGTGGAGAGGTGCCTTCTGGGCTTTTGAGATGCCACGTAAACCTTTCTCGTGTCTGTATCCATCCTGAAGCTGGGTCTGAGTCCCTGTGTCCCACGTCCTTGTCACACTCACTTTTGCACATGTCTCTGATGATCTCCAGGGAGAACCTCCTCTGTGGGGCACTTCGGAGGCTTTCTGATGAGTTCTGCTCACTCGTCCTTCTGCACGTGCCCAGGGTCTGTCTGCAGAGGCCTGTTAACCCCTCCTCCCCGACCCCACAGGGACATCCTGGAGGAGCCCAAGGAGGAGGAGCTGACCGAGAGGCTGAGCCGTCACCAGTACCTGCGGCTGTGCAGGTGACATCCAGGTTGCCTTCCCGGCTGGGGTGGCAGGAGAGAGATGCTGGCCTGTGGCAGGTGCTGGTCACCGAGGAGGCAGCTGGGCTGTGGCCAAGCAGGAAGAGACCTTTCCTTTGACAGACCACTTAGCTGGGGACAGGCAGAGCCTGGGGACGAGGAACCAAGTCCCTCAGGTATTGCCCAACGGAACCATCTACAGAACAGCCGCTGGCGCTTCAGGGCGGAGTCGCGCCATGCCGCTTTCTTCTATAAGCTGCTTCAGTGAGACTTACTTTTTAAATAAGCAAAGAGGTGACTCCACAGGGACCTTTTAAGACAGTTTGAAAAGCAAGAAGCAGTGGCCTTCCCCTTGTGCCCTGCAGCTTCTGTGGTGCCTTTGCTGCTGGTGGCCTTCAGGGACCAGAGGCCCACCTGGGGCCTGCACAGGTTAACCAGCAGATTTCCAGGACATTAAGGTTGGGATGCTGGTGGTTTTACATGAAGAGAACATTGACTGTGTCTTATTTAATGGCTTGTATGAATGTGATTGGGTGTGTTTCTTTAGGGGTAAGAATGCCAATAATTTTCATCAATAAGTTATATAAAGAATGGGATTGTCATTCTTACTTCAACATGACTCTGGTCCTACTTCGCTGGAGCAGGGTTGCTGGGTAAGGTTGATTAGGTTCTGTACTGCACGAGGGCACCTGGCTTTGAGGATGTGTCCTGGCGTGGGGCTGTCTACCTGCAGTGAGGGATGCCTTTTCTAGTTTGCACAAAAGCATGGTGGCCATCTACTTTGTGTGTCCTTGGTGTGTGACGGGGGCGGGGGGGCCTGGGGTGGGGTGGTGGGGAGAGTGAGCAGAGTGTGGAAAGCCACATTGTCACTTGATCCATGCTAGACTGTGATTGACAAATGGTTTCCTCATTTCAAGTGCCGGCACGAGTGATTGGCATCGTAGTCTGCGGAGTTCCCTGCTGAGCACGAGTGGAATCTTCATGGAAAGGCATGTCGGAGTGGCTGAGTGGCGGCTGGGGGCACCGCGGGGAAGTGAGGGCTCGGGTGCCGACTCCTGTAGGATGTGGTCTCTTGTCTTCCCCAGCTTGTCTGGGAAAAGGGAGTTGAGGAAGGTTTAACTAAAAACAGCTTCTAAAACATCTCAAAGCCCCAGGGCTCGGGTCCCGTAAACCTTGGGTGTACCCGTGCACACGTAGCTTGCGACTGATCCTGAAGTGGGTCTGGGACCCCGGGCGTTGACCTGACCACTCATGTTTGGGGTTCCTGTGGGGGCTGTGAGGACACTGCTGGCTGCCCCCTCTGCAGGCTGCCTTTGGGTCGGAGGACCTCAGGGAGCAGTGGGTTGGACGTCCACACCCAGCTCGCCTTGGCAGAGGCAGATGCTTCTCTCCGGGACGGGGTGGGGGCCCACCTTCCTCGCTGCTGTTAGCACTGTCTGTGTTCCCACGGCCCCCCACCCCCTTTCTGCTGGGGGTTGGGTGCCACCTAGTGGTGGGATGGGGTTAGGTGGCCTTATTTTTAATGCGAGGCGGACCCCATGACAGCATGACACCCAGAAATAACTCACGGAGACAGCGCTTCCTGCCTGGCCAGCTCCCCTCCTGGCCGGTGCCCTGTGTGCCTGCTGTCACCAGCGCGGCGGGAAGGGCTGGGCACTGGCAGGGTTGCTTCTGCGCAGTGGCCATGGGGCGGAAGTTCTTTTCCCGCCAGGGCAGGCAGCCCCCGCCTCTTGGTGCCTGCGTGGGGCTGGTGGGGCCTAATGACAAAGTCGCTGTGACTGAGATGGGGAGAGGCACAGGTCGAAGGTGAAGGTCGTGAATTTGTTTCTGCTCATGTTTAATAATAACGATGATGACGTGGAGACAGCAAACTCGGAGGACGGGTGCACGTGCAGTAAGAATAACTTCTCCTGAGTCACTTGCAGGTGGGGTGCAGTTCTGTCCCCTCCTCCCTCGGTGCTTTGGGGGGGTGTCCAACAAACAGGACGCCCTGCCGCAGAAGCACAGCCGTGGAAAGCGGGACGGGGACGCGGACGGGCTGCGGTCCTCCAAGGCTTCCGCGCTGGGAGCGTTGGTTCTATATCCCGCACGGCTTTGCGAGGCCGTCTCCTGGACCGTTGCTCCATTGTCCTGTTGAAGATGAGCCAGTGACTTTAGAGACTGGCCCCCAAATTGGGTTTGTGGGAGGTTTCCTCATGTGCTTAGATCGAGGTTCTGCCCTTTTTGCAGGGATGTCACAGAAGGCGCACTGCGTCCTGCCAGGGGGCGTGTTTCGCCTTCACGCCGGGGTCCACTCCCACCGCTTGCTCCAGCGCCAGCCTCCCGGTGGGGCGCGGGAGGTGCTGTGTGACTGTCCCGTTCCTCGTCAGACTGTCTTGTCTTCTGTTTTCCTCTCTACCCGCTTCCTGTCTTGCTTCCATCTGCGTGGATCTGGTGGGACAGGCCGCCGCTGTGCTTGCCCCGGTGCTCAAGCTGCCCTCACGTGGCCAGGGGGAGCCCCTCACCTAGCGTTTGTGTCCCGCTGCCGTGAGCCTGCCGTTCTGCCGGCGTTTCTGTACTTCCTGGCACGAAAGGATGTTCAGGGCTCATTTTATTCCTTCTTCGCCCCATGCCTTCCATTCGCTGGGATGAGCCGCTTCTCCTGGGAGCCCTGTCCCTTCTGTACACGGAGAACAGCGTCTGGGAACCAAGACGTGGGTGTGAAGCGCACTTGTGGCCACTGGGGCGTTGCTGTGCCCAGGTGCCGTCGGTGGACAGAGCTGGGGGTGAGACACGCGTGTACGCACCTCTCTCCTACATCTGTCCACAGCTGTGAGGTTACACCAGTACCTCCAGCTCAGTCCAGCGCCACCGGGTACCATTCCGGTTCTCTCTCTCCATAGTAGGGCTCTTCTCTGAATGGTTCTCATTCTCCTTCATCTATCTGATCAGTTTCCCTGCGGATAGGTCTCCTGTCACCCCCCGCCCTGCCCTGAGATGTCGTCCTCACCCGACTTGGGCTCTGACCCTCACACTGAGATGCCCCTCTGCGTAGACGCCTCCTACCAAAGCCTCCAGGAAACAGCTTTCCAGCAGCAGAAGTTACTGTTTTAATTAGGAACAGGAAACCCTACATTCTCCTGGAGCTCCCGGTCAGCTCATTAGGACTCAGTAAGGCAGCAAGTAAACAGGTGAATAGAAATAGCGTTAGAAGAAACGTACCGCTTTGTTCCCAATGTGATTGTCTGTATAGAAAAGCCAACGATGATAGCAAGAATTCAGCAGAATGGCCTGCTGTAAGATTGTAGTGAAATCAACTGCTTTTGTAAATACTAGCAACAAACTCATAAACTGTGTATTTAGAGACACCATTTACATAGGAGTAAAAATCTTTTGGGTCCATAAAAGTAAATTGAATGAGAAATGTTCAAGGTCTATATACAGAAAACTATAAAACTTCGTTCAAGCCCACTATGTAGAGTCGAATACCGGAGACTATTGTATCATGTTAACAAGTCACCACATGCCCAGTAACTTGCCACAGCCCCGCTCACTAGCTCGAAGTGCAGGTCAGAGGTCAGGCATGGCCCAGTGCGCCCTCTGCGCAGGTCTCCGGGGTCGCGGCATCGGCCTGGCTGTGATCCGCCTGGAGGCTCTGTGTGGGATCTGCTTCCAAGCTCACTCCGGCTGTTGGCCGAGTCCAGTCACCTGCAGCTGTGGGACTGTCATTCCCGCTTCTCTTCTGGCAGCCAGCGGGCGCTGCTCTCAGGAACCGGGAGCCGCCTGCGTTCTCTGCCACACGGCCCCCTCGTCTTCAACGTCAGCAGCAGAGAACCTGCCTCACACGGAAGCCCCCTCTTCCTGCAGGAAGAGCCGGTGCCTCTGAAGCTCCACCTGATTAGGTCCGACCCGCCAGGCGTCTTCAAGTCAGCTGTGCCACAGAACAGAAGCCAAGCCCAGGGGTGGCGTCATACTCACGGGTTCCACCTGCACCCGAGGGCGGAGATGACGTGCGGGTGAGGGGCACTGGGGCACCGGGAACCTGCCCACCGCGGAGTTCCCGTCGTCACCGGCAGACAGAGTCTCTACTGGAGATGTTAGTCTTCCCCAGTTGGACCCACGTTCACTATAGTTGTAGACGCAGGGCCATTTTTCCCATGGAATTTGAAAAGCTGGTTGAAAAATGTCCATGAAAGTGCAAAAACAAGAATAGCCACGTCCTTTCTGTAGAAGAGGAAAGTTGAAGGCATTGCTCTGTCGTCGTCCCTAACTTTTGGGAAAGGTGCAGGGACAAATCGGCTAACGGGGGAGGGCCCAGAAGTGGCTCTGTACAAATGGAGAGGATCGGCGGCGAAGGGATGGGTTATCCAATAAATGGTGCCGGGAATTCCAACCGACGTGGGAAAAGAACGACGAGATAAGATTCCTATTTCACACCTAACACAAAAGTGCATACCGGCTGGATTGAGGGCTTGTGGTGAAAAGCAAACTTTAGAACATTTAGAAGACAATATAGGAAAGAAAAATGGATGAACTCAGGATGTTTCAATTGAGAACTTCTTTCTTTAAAAGATTTCATAGACAGGCAAGCCACAAACTGGGAGAAGATATTGTAACAGATACAACTGATTAAGGACTTACATCTATCTAGACCACATCAGAGCTCCCACAAATTAGCGAAAAAGAAAACCAGTGGGAAATGGCTTTTCACAGACAAGCAAACACGCAGTTCCACAGTGACACGAGAAGACGCCCCATCTCACTAGTAATTAGGAATATGCAAAGTAAAATAGAAACGATACATTTCACTCGGTCAGAATTGAAGAAGTTGGACAATCTGGATTGTTGGGACTTTTATATATTCTTGGAGGAGATTTAAGTTGAAGCCACCTCTTTTTTGGCATTATTGTAGTTGAACATGTCATACCTTATTAACAGTACTCGCTGGATACACTCTTGTGTGAAACGCCTGCCCACGTGCACCAGGAGACGGGTAGGCTGTTCAGCAGAGT